CAGGAATGAAAATGTCTCTGTAACAAAAACATCTCTGTATCATCAACACTGTTTCCAACATAAATCCAAAACGTAGCCCCATACTAGCTGCTAGGAAGAAAATCAGCTCTATCTCAGCTGAAACCAGGGTGGGTAATCATATTTTTCCATGATAATTTTTGTGCTTTGTGTTGCTTGAATTAATTATAAGAAAATGTTTTTGCTTGTAGGTGAGTTCAAAAGCTGGGGAATCAGTTTTTTATAGCAAGCATGGTTCACAATAAAGACTTTCAGCTTTAATTTCTGGCTTTTCTATATGTCTGGTAAATGAAATTAATATGAACTTTCCTATATATATTCAATTGAAAATTATTCTGATTCATGAGAATTTCTAGCGCAGTTATCTATTGTAATCTGCTTTGAGAATCCTTAAAGGCTTTGTGTATTATTTGAATGAGCTACAGAAGTCCTGGAGTAGCATGTTAATGCATTATTTGATACTATGGTACAATTTCTATATTTGTCACTTCTTACATTTTGTAAACCACTAAGTACTGTAATCTTTTTACTATTTGTTTTTTAAAACCAAGCCACTATAATCCATATATATATGCCAACCCTAGTCCCTGCTCAAGCAATACAGAAAATACTTTCAAAAACAAATCTCTGTTTAAATTTATATAACCTTTGCTTTTTGATATCATAACATGTACCACTGATTATTTTACAAAGCAGAAACTGGGAAAAATTATCAGCTTTGAAATCTTTCCTATTTCTTTGCTTTAATCCGATAGAAGAAAAGCGGCCCTTTGATTTTGAATTCTTTGCCCAGCTGCTTGAGAAGGTCTTAGCAGATGAGGAAAAGAGGAAGCAAAAGACTGTTAAAAGCCAGAAGCCAAAGGAAAAGAAGCCGTCAAGGCCTCGGAAGAAGCCTAAAGGTACTTCAGAAGAATGCTTGAGATATCATTACAGAGCAGTGGTCAGTAATGTGGTGCTAGCAGAGCAAAAAATCACACAGGAAATCTTTTCCTTCCCTGTTCGGGACAGTGAAGAGAGGATCCTGGCTTCACAGTGCAGCTCCTTCAGATGTAATTTACTGATACAAGGGATGGTAATAATTGGTAGCAGCCAGCTTCCTGAGGTGTGTTTTCTCTAGGCAGAAATGTGAGACTACACTGAGATTAGTGCTCTTCCACAGAACTGATGTTTGAAACAAGATATTCTAACTCAACAGTTGATAAATATCTCCATGAGTTGCTAACAAATTCCCTTTTAGAATTCTTGTGCTAAAACCATTTTTTTTGCAAGCTCTTCTGTGACTTTTAAATTTTTCTTACACTTTAAACCCTTTTCTTTTACAGGTTCTGTTTCTTCTTTAATTATAGTTTGACTCCCTAAGTCTGAAGGGTGTGATTCTTTTCAGGGAGTCTTGTAAAAGTTGTTTCAGTTTTCTGGTCTATTCAAAATAAAGGATAAAGTTTATGTTTAATTACTGTTGATCACCATATTACCTTATTACCTCAGTACCTGTGAAAGGACCCTTCATAGATGTGCTTAAATTGAAAACAGTTATACTGACACCATTTCATAGATTCCCTGCTAATCCTGTTGGGTTGTTCACTTGTTTGTTCCACAAAAACCCATTTTCTTGTAAGTGGTATTGTGGAACAAACAAGTGAACAACTTTTTTAACCGGGATGCTAGCTAGGAAGCAACATCGCTGTTTAATTTTTAAAATTGACATAGTTGCTGCATTTCTATAACCTTGGTTTCAGATTTGATTAAGTAAAATGTGCCACCTATTAAGACTTCCAGCTACATAGAGAAATTCTGTTCATAGACTTCCATGGTAGATTAAAGGTACTCACGTGTATAGCAATGCAAGTATGCTTTTCTACTTCTCTTGCATTTTGGATTTCTTAATTACAGGGGAACAAGTCTGTATAAGAACAATATAAAGTACATGGAAAGTTTCTTGGTGGTTGATGTTCTGCATAAATACAATATCAAGATAAAAAGTCCTGCAAAGGGGAGGAATGAGAATTTCAGAAACTCGTTAAACTGAGAAAAGAACTTGTTAATTATTAGCTATATAATAATTCAGCCTTCTTGTGTAAATAAGAATAATTAAGTACAACACATCTATTGATCAAAATTACTTTTTCATGGCATACTTTCTGCAACTATCATCACGTCTTTCTGCAGAGATATGATAATTCTTTTCAGGAATACCAATGCCTATTTTTTCTGGATTTACATCCTGTACTGACTTTACCCTGGTGAAGTGTTGTCCCACATACAGAATGTATTTTGCATTTAGTGTTAATCTATGCTGAAGCTTTTCTATAAAGTCAGTGACCAACTTCTCATGGTCCTGCTCATATGCCTGGCAGTATATTGGCAGTGATGTATGAATTAATAAGATGTTGCTAGTAGAAATATCTTAGCAATTTATGGCTCCTAATACTCCACCAGTCTATTAACCGGGAATCATATTGTCTCACTAGCAAAAGCTGCCAGCACAGAAGCTACTGATGATCAAGATGATATGCAGAAAGCCAGAATTTCTGATGCAGAAACAGAAGCAGATGCTGTTACGGCTGAGAAGGAAAATGAGGAATCTTTGGGCATTTCTGAACAGGCAGAAGAACAGGTTGCATTAGAGCCAGCATTAGCAAAAAAGAAGAGAAAGAAGAAGAGAAAAGATGATCTTGAACAGGAAGTGGAGAATCTTCCAGAGGAAATGGCCGTCCCTTCAAAAATTGCTGAAGAAGGGGAATCCTCTAAGAAAAGTAAGAGGCAAAAATGTTCTCTTTCAAATGTCTAAATATGAATTTTATATAAAGACATTGCAAACTTAAAAATGAGAACTTGTGGTTTGATTTATATGACTGATCTGCCTTGGAAGGTTGTAGAACAATGTATTTCAAAATCAGCTTTCATACTAAATCTAAACATGTTAATTTTGCTGAGAACAGTTCTCTGAAATCTTAATACTTAAGCATTTTCTACTGGGATTTTCTATTTTAAATTAACTCTTGCTTCACTGTAGCTCAGAGGTGAGAGTTAGAGTTCTAAGATGTTGCCCAGAATGTGCAAATTGATTTAATTTTTATTCATTAGCAGAAAAAAAAAAGGTACGAAATGATGATGGTCATACTACCTGTAGAGAAGAACTGGGTAGTGTTATTGAAGGAAAACAAGATGAGACTGCTGTTACAGAGGAAGAGAGATCAGAGTCCTGTTTATCAGTGAATGACATAACAGAGAGAGAAAGCGATGTCAATTTATGCAGGTAATGTTTACAATGAAAAGCTTAGGCAACATAAAAACAGTTTAAAGTTTTAATTTTGGGGTTTTTATTCATGCTTGCCATCATATTAACTGGCACAGCATGGGCAGTGTTTTGTTTCCTGGGGACTGTTCTGGGTTTTAGTAAGCTGTTTTTAATTTACCCTGATGGACTGCCCTTGCAAAGTTAATTTACATTGATACTAAAATCCCATCCAAAACTGCTTTCACTTTTTTTTTTTTTTTTGGGGGGGGGGCGTTCATGAAGGCTGTTTACTTATCCTAACTCTTAATATTTCTCTCAAAGCACTGCTTGCTAACATTGCTAAGTATTGTTGCTATACACTTGGAGTTTATATCTATTTTTAATAAGATGGTTCTTGGAGGAAAGGAAGGTTGCTTGGACTTTATTGGTGCAGAACCTGAGTGGGAGGCAAGCTTTTGGTTTCAATTCTGGGCATTCTTTTACTAGAGAGAAAGTGAATGTTTGTTTTATTAAACTTGTTATATAAGAAGGTGGTAAATTTAAAAAGTCATTATGAAGGTGTTAGTGCTACTTCAGAATTTTGCATGTTAACTGTTGTACTTAGCTGTATTGTAATTGTTTATTTCATACAGATTCCCAGGACTTTTGTGTGCTTTAATACCTCATTGGAAGCATATGAAGGAACAGTATTTGTCTTTCAACTCAACATAGATTGTTACAGAAGATTGAGGGGAAAAAAAGCTTCTGCATACAGTGTTTATATTAGTAAAGTCTGTTTTTAAAAACTGTCTAGCTTGGAATACTCAGATGGGATTTTAACATCTTCTCATAATAACATTGCAAAAGTGCAAAAGTTGTTTTAAAGCTCATATCCTGTAAATATCACTAAAACTTGTCAGATTCTCTGACAAGTTATTTAATGTCAAAATTACATAATTTTTCTGTGCAACTTGACAATAATAGCTTTTTTATTAAAATACACTAATATAATGTTTTTGTGTGCTTTTATTGATTTCAGCTTTGAAGATAGCAATGATGTTATACTAGAAATGGAGTCTGCTAAACTGAGAACCCTAGATGTTAGACGTGATAGATCACAGGAAAGCCAGATTTCAGAGTTAGCGGTTTCAAAGATTAGAAGCAAAGAAAGTCAATCTGAAGAAACTAGAGAAACAAAGGTATTTTTATTTTTATGTAATTCAATTCTTCTTAAGATTTTCATGTTTGCCATTAAAAGTGTTTTTGTAAATCAAAGCCTTTTTTTGGTTGTTTTTGTGATGTTTTTACCACTAGGTGGAAAAAAGGCAACAAGCCCGAGAACATCACCAGCATGTAAATACTATCCATTTGGCTGGCTTTAATGGGTTGTCTGTTATACTAAATTTATTCAGAGAGTATACTGTGCATGCCTGACTTACTCATAGACAATTTAAACAGCTGAACAGTTTATTATTTGAAAGTTAAGCAGTACAATATCAACAGTAAAACCTTGGAGTAAGATTTTGCTGACGTATGCTTACTAGTGCGATGTTAGAAATTGATCTGAGCAGGATGAGCATTTGGTTGTTTGGGCTGCCTCAGAATGGAAACCTGTGTAAACCCTTGTCCACTGGTACTGGCTGCTATGAAGTATTTCAGGAAAGATGCAAGAAACTGTACCAAGATCAAATGATCTTTCTTCAGATATGTTCTAATCAGGTCTAGCAGTTTAGAAACTTACTGAGACTGTGTCTGGCTTCTTTTCAAGCCCTTGAGGCACCTCTTACTCATGAGTTTGTCTAGCTGCTTTTTTGCATATATCTGTACTTTTGTAATGAATTGCATACTATATCTGAGAGTTCATTCCTTTAACTATTCACTTCATAAAAAAAGTTCTTTGGATTGTTTTAAGCCTGATGCCTGGTAGTTTAATATGCACTGTACTTCCACTGTTACATTCCTGTTCATCTTTATAATGTTCCTGTTCATCTTCTCCAAGCTATTCTTGTTTATAATGCCACTTCTTCCTCTCTCTAACAGTATTGTTTTCAAGCTGAAGAGTCCTAATCTTACATTTCTCCTCATATAGAGAAAATTCCATTCCTCTGATCATCCTTCTGTCCTTGCATCATTGTCTTTTTTGGAACTTAATATCATACTGTTTAAAGACTTGTGCTGAGGGGGAATGAATTACTTTGTCTTCTGCTGTTCAAGACAAAGAATGATCTTGTAGTTAAAGTTTCTGGTGAGACATTAGGAAATTGTAAGTGTTAGTGTTTCCCTAATGTGACAGGCAAATTATTTGTCCTCTGGCCTTTATTTTAGATTCCGTTACCTGAAATACTGTCTTCATTATAATGGAAAATCAGCCTCTTAGGAACTTTACAAATACTAAATGCCTGTAGTTGTAAATGTTAGAACAATATAATCTCCTGATATTAGTTGGAATAATATTTATAAAACTCAATGAACTGAACAGGACAATGTGATACATATACACCAGCCTATTACAGTGGCCTGAGTAGCTAAACTCTCTGGCTGATTAATTATGCCCGTTTGACATGAGAAAAAGGCATAATAATCTCTAAAGCTAATAATTTCAAAAGACCTTTTATGTCGGTTCTAATTATCTTGGCCTGCTATGGTTAATTTGCTTTGAAAGTATATGAACATAATCACCGACCTAAAACTAGAAATACTCAGTGATGGGAAAGTGATTCTGTTTAATATTAAAGAGGTAAAGTAGAGAAATAACGTTTTCTTGCAGTAGGCATTTACCTTACTAGAATCCATAATATTCCATAAAATTTTTGCTGTAATTGTGATTAGTTTGCTATGTTGTCATTTTTTTTTATTTTCAGAATGATGGTCAGTGCTCTATAGGAAAATTATTTAAATGCTACATCTCAAAGTAATGATAGTTGATACTGCCTAAGGGACTTAGGCTGATAACAGGCTTGTTACCAGCTTCATCCAATTAAAAGACAAAGAAATGGGCTGACAGAAACCTCACAAAGTT